TTGTCAAATAACTCATCCTATATACAATAGAACCTCGGGGCTCTGGTTATGGTCTAGAGGGTCCAGAGAATAGGGACTTCAAGCAACACAGCCTCGGATAACAAGTAGCACAGCAACCCATACATAACGCTAACATAGAGGCTAACTTCTTGAAATCAAGATGTTATTATAGTTGATTATTTCACAACCAAACACAAAATATAGAAAGATTCAGTAAAACTTAAGATAATCTTCAACAAGAAGACAGAAGCCTCCTGGCATATGTCTTCCTTCAGAAATCTCACCGAAATTAGTCCTTGATGTTGCATCTAATGTTCACATTGTACTGCCATACTCTATCTCCTCTTAAAAAAACCCACATAATCACGTATCTAATTCTTCCCAACCTCACCCAGTGCTTTTTCCTTTAAATAACCAGATATTCTTCTTTCTTGTTGGTGTTAGAGGAGCGGTTTTGTCTCCCAATGGCATCATGACCTCGTGATGCTAAAAGCTGTAGGAACAGGAGATGCGGAGAGCTCAGAGTCAGCTTGAACGGCAGTGATGGATAAAACCACATTATCCAGGTTTTACACACTGGGAACTAAAGCATAGAAAGATAAAGCGGTGCATGAGATCCCCAGAAAAGTCTCCAGCAGAGAGACGAGTTAACCCTGAGTCTCTAAAGGCGTAGTCCAGCACGTAACCCATAACAAATTTCCTTTTCCGTGTGTGTATTTGCAATTATTTTAGAGCTTCCTTTTCTGGAGATGAAGGGAGGAAGAAATTAAAATTTAAAAAGCTGTGAACTGGTCCCTAATGTTACCTGTAGGGCACAGCAAGCATTTCATACTGCATCTCTTTTCCAAATAAGAGGTTTTCTTTCCCCAACAGAGTTGTAAAATTTCTCTGCGAGCCTTTCCCCTTTCTCCTGTAAAGCAAATTCGTGTAGTGCTGTGTAAAGCCTGAGCATGTTAGAGGTTTATTTCTCAGGTTCAGGTTGCACCGGCCCTGAGGCAGAGCCTGTAACCTTAGACTGATTTTTCTCCTTGCGCTATTAAATCATTCAAATCTGTTAGCAGTCACTCTGCTCAAGCAGGGAGCGGGCAGGACGCGCTATTGTAGACCTTGATTGGTTACAGAGGTTTGTTTATGGGCAACGCCACAGGTTTTTTTTAATATTCCAGAGGTCTGGTAATTTACATCCATTGATTTACAAGGCACAATCTGTCAAGAGGCACCAGCGTAGCACTGAATTACAAAATGATTGAAATCATTGGTGACAACGAGTGTGTTAAGTTTATTTTTCTCAGGTTTGCTGGAATGAAATGTTCTTTGGAGTGAGATATCTTGGCTGTGCTTACAGCAAGCTAGAAGAAATCCCAAACAAAACCGTAACTGTTATCCGGCATCACGGGAAGATCACTTAAGACAAATGAAATTCATCTGTTTAGGCTGCAAGATGATAAGGGCCAATGGAGCAAGGCGTTGGCCACTGCTTACCCAACCGTTGGGTATTTTGTTGGCCAGGAGGGCTCACGTTCAGCTTGGTGTAAATGGGTTATGAAGGAGGAGAAGGGGAAGAAGAAGTGGATGGCTGCTGATCTGCTGTTTCACTTTTCCAGCATTTCAGTTGGAGATATCTCCCTCTTTAAGCAGAGAGCGCAGAGTGTGCTCTGGTGGGTTGAATGTCCATGCAATGCAGGGTCACACTTTGCCCAAAGAACTGGCCAACTCCTTTAGGCTCTGATTATTTTTTGCTGCTGCAGCTCCTTCTGTGGGTTCATGTTGCCAAGGATGATGGAGTAAAACTGTCTTGAGTGAGACTTAAAGAAATGGGATTTTCTTGTTGACTGTGAGATGGTCCTTTCTGGATGCCCAAAGAAGGAGAAAAGAAACTTGATGGCCTCTGAAAGGCTTCCTTTGATCTCGAAAAGCAAAAGCACATTTCAGTGTCCTCATCGTGCATGGGAGCAATCGGTATGCATCCCCCAAACCAGCACCTGACCCCCCTCCCCGCCATGAGGGCTCTGAACACGCAGAAGGACTTCAGTGCTCTGGCTTTAAATAAGGAGCAGATTGTCCCAGTCTCCCTTCTCCTCTTATCTCCACTGACAAATATAATTACAGCTTCACTTAAATTGCTGTAAATGAATTCTGGAGAGTAGAAAAATTGTGCGTGTATCTCTCCACTGCAGAAATTAGCTGACTCTTGCGTTTCGGATGATGGGTCCATCCATCTTCACCGCTTGCAGGGAGGCATCGCTGGAGCGAGCTGGCACGATCAAACCAGAGGCTGCAGCCCTGCACTGCTAAAGAGAGATGATTCTTGCAGTGAATCCATCTCCAGGAGTGAGGCTGATAGAAGCTTCTCAAAATGTAGGGATTTTTGACTAAAAATAGATGGGGTTTCCCCCACAATAAAGGTGAGGTTTCCTGCTTTCTACTGTGACCAAATAAGCACCCCTAGACCTGATCCTGAGCCAGAAGTCCTGCCACCCTCCAGGGAAACAAATGTCACTTGGAGGTCTCACAGCCGAAAGGTGGGTGGCAGCTGGACAAACAGCTCTTCCAAAGCGCCTTCCGAGAGTCATCTCTTAACACCGTTATCTGGAAATTAGAGGCTGTGTAAATAAGCCCATCACCCCCTCCCTGACAATTTCATTTTCTTTGTGGGAGAGACCTCAGTGAGCAGGGAGAGGCTTGGAGAAGTGTCGGGGTGTGCTAGGGAGGGGACGTCCTTGTTATTCCCATTCACCCTGGGTGGCTTGTCGCTCTCATTTCCCTCTTTATTTCTCTTTTACACTCCAGGCCAGTTAATGATTTTCAGCAGTATTTGCCAGGCCATGAATTTCTCTACCATGTTCCTTGGTGAAAAAAAAAACCTTCATAAATATTGCTGTGACTGCAGGAGTTGCTGAAGGAGGCTACTTCCAGGAGCCGTGTTTTACATGGCTTCATCCGTGCACGCTTTTCTCTGTTGTAATTCACAGTACATTTAGATGCACAATTAGGCGCTTTGCTGTGTGCAATCTTTTCCGTTTGCTTTGCCGCGCTCCTTTAATTGTACAGTTCTGTCTTGTATGTTTACCTCTGTTTCAGTTTGTTTTGCACAAAATAGATTGGGGCTTTTTATCTCCTCCTTTTGTTTTTTTTTTCTTTTCAGACTAGATCTGAAGGTGTATTTAATTTTAGGAGCAAATCCAAAGCTCGGCGTAGGTTCCTCTTTCAAAGGAGGTCTTTGGCTGTACAAACAGCAGCAAGTGACATTTACTTAATCAGTCTCCATCAAAATGAAAGTTTATTGTTGACAGTTCCTTGGTGATGTACAAATCCTTTCTGTGCAGAGTTGCGTTGGTGTCTGGCTAAGTGATTTATCGTGTAACGAACGGTAATGCAAGAAAAGAGAGAAGGAGGTGTTTCTTAAAGCCAGCAGATAGCATACCTCCATTATTCAGGTTAATCACAGAACAACTATGAGCTGACAATGTGAAGCAACCATGAAAAGAAGCAGATATGGCAGAGCAAAAGAGTATTCCCGGGGGAGACAGGAAAGCTGTAGTCCCGTTGTGGCACCAGGTACAGCTCAAACACAGCACACAGCTCTGGTTACCCGTGTTCAAGACAAAGTAAATGAAACCAGAAGGGGTGCAGAGAGTTGCTTTTGTCAAGCATTGGAACAGGCTGGCCAGGGAAGTGGTGGAGTCACCATCCCTGGAGGTATTTAAAAGATGTGTAGATGTGGCGCCTACGGACATGGTTTAGTGGTTAACTTGGCAGCGTTAGGTTTACGGTTGGACTCGATGATCTTAAGGATCTTTTCCAACTTAAATGATTCTATGATTCTGTGAAGAGGGATGGCAGGGATAGAGAACTCCATAAGGCAAAGAATAATGTCGGCATATGAAGAACCAAATACAAAACATCAGTGAATAAGTTTAGGCTGGAAACTAGATTCCAAACCTTAACTTCGCTGTTAGAGAAGTGCTGTTTTGAAGGAGCCAGCAAGGGTAGAAATCTGAACAACTTTAATATGGCACACAAGTTTATGCTCAAGGCCATGGGACACAGGGCTTGTGGGGACTGGATCCAGGAGATCCCTTGCAATCCCATTATTTAAATCAAGTGGAAGTTGTCTAAGCGGGGCTGCCTGATTTCAAACATTGCTAATCACCCTGCGCAGGGAGTCACTTCTAAAGTGCTGCTTGAACGAGGACTTGAACTCAGATATTTGGGATACGCTTTCTCTAATTGGGGTGGAATATATGATAACAGTGTGTTACTCTTGTTAGTGAAGCTACTTCCTTAGCTCGAGTGGCAGCGATTTGTGTCACAGGGGAGAAGGTTCAGGGTTCAGGCACTGTGATAAAATATAAGGGATGAAGGCTGTAGAGTTATAGCTGCATTGACACCTCTCCAAGAGAGACGATGCTCTCGTGGTTGGGATAAACTCAAGGTGGTTTTTTAAAGAGGTCTCAGTGGGAGGGAAACAGTTGGTCCGTGACCAACTCATACCTGTTGCCTGCTTTTTAATTGCTTTACTGCCTAAGAGCTGTGTTTTATTAACAAGAATAAAGAAAGCCTCCCAGATGCCTCTGAAGGGATGGGGGCAGGCAAAGACTCATCTGAGATTACATGGGAAAGTCTATGGTGACCAAAAAGGACCACCTTTCCTGTTGGTGCCGTGCTTTGGCTCCTGGGCAGCTCTTTTCTCACTCCGAGCAGAGCAAGATAAACGTTCCTCGATTCTGCAGGTACAGAAATACTCGTCGCAGAGCAGTATCTTCCCAAGCAAATGTATTCTGGTGGTTGATTAAACCCCTCAGGTTCACTTTGGAGTTTAATCAATTGCAGAAGCAGTTTGTTGCTTCATACGCTCCCAAATTATAGATGTTACTGCTCAGCCAAAAGTGGGAGAGAACACACATCTTTAGGATGGAAGCAGACAAGATGCTGTGGTTGCTAAAGCTGAGCGGTATTGATGAAGTATGTCACAAATGTATACTATCTTCTCTTGCTAGCCATGTCTCCTGGCCAGGACAGCCATGCCAGTATGGAACACCTTCCTGCATCCGAACAGATCCTGCAAACCCTGAGTGAGCTGGCCAGGTCTTTTCAAGAGATGGCTGACCGCTGCCTGCTGGTTCTGCATTTGGAAGTCAGGTAAAAGCCCTGAATTCGGGTATTGTGGGTGAGCTCGGGAGGCTATAGGTTAAGATTGTGTCCAGAGTACATATTATGGCACCTGAGACAGATATACTTGCCTGCTGTAGCATCAAAGGTCAGTCCAGACATGCCAGAGCCCATCACCACGGATGGCCAAATGTGGGATGGAGGCAGGATACCAAAAGTGGAATTTCTTAGGGAGGTCTGTGTCTTATGCGTCAGAGACTAGGAAAAATGGGTTTTCAGGGGCTTTGTCCTTAGAAAATTGCACAATGATGTTTTAATAGTCTAGCAGGTGAATGCACATTTATTAGCCACTGTGCTTTGGAGCTTTTCGTACTAGTTTTTCAAATAGTAACAGAAACTGGGAAACCAGCTGGATTTTTTTGAAGGGATGGATAATTTTATGATATCTCTGACTTCACATGCAAAGATCAAAGGCAGCAAATCCCTTTCTTCAGGCTGCCAGCTGTCCACTCTGGGGCTGGGAAGACATTTTTCCCTTATGCATCGTATCGGCCAGGTGTATTTTCATTGCTTCCCTTTTCTCTGAAGCATCAGATAGAAGCGGATGTCAGAGACAGGCAATGGGACTTGATGGACCATCAGTTTGTTCTGCCGTGACATATCCTGAGCCATATTGTGGCCTTGTGTACATTGGCAGAGCTCTGGTGAAGTCAGCATGTAGCTTTAAAAAAAAATACACGTTAGTTATTGTCAGCAGCCCTTCAACCTGCTATCCATCATCTGCTGGCCACGTGATTGCAGGCATCACAGATGAGCTGGGTTTTGAAGGATTTGAGGAAAAGGTTGTTAGGGTATGGAAATGGAGCAGCTTTCCAGCTGCGATGTAATGCGAGGTGATGCCCGAGCTAACCCGGACTCGTGGTATGGGCACCAGCCTAAATGGGTTTCTGGCCTCAGTCCTCTGTGGCTTTCCATCACACTTGGGTTAAGCAGAAATAAGTGCAAATGTAATTCAGGAAAAATTTTCGCTGTCATTTTAGAGCAGACCATTGCCCACCTCCTCTAGTGCTTCTAACAGGAGCCCCAGTTTGATGCTGTAAATACACCAAAGCATGTTACTCTGTGCAACGGGTGGAAAGGGTTGAGAAAAAGAGATGCTGACAACCAGGAAAATCCGCAGCGGGGTGGGAGCTTCCCCATACTCATCACTCTGCATTTGCAACCTCCTGCAGTAACTGAGAAAAATCCCAGTCCCTCTGATAGCTGTTACTAGCGGGTTTCTCTGAGATTCCTACGCCAGTTCCCCGGATCCGTGCCATTGCCAAGGTGCATAGCACAAGGTATATTCATTCCCAGAAACCCTGTGCTTTAAACAGGCACTCAGAGCACATTCGTGAAGAGCCTGGGAATTTATCCGGCCTCTTGCTGTTACAGGTACAGTCTAAGAAAACACCAGCAAACAGCAAAGCAGATTTGAGATGACGCAATTATCCCCTTGTGTTTCTCCTCCCTTAGGGCCCCCCATTCGTTCACAGCTCTGCCAGATGCAGGTTGGCACCAGCCCGGCGTTGGCTTCTCCTCCTCCAGTACCGTGCGGGCATGCCCTGAGGACAGTGGTCACTGAGATCCTGCTCCTTGGGTTTATATCTGCGTCCTTAATGGAAGGTTGTTCCAAGGAAGTCTGTTGGCGCTCATTAACCATTTCTTTTGTTACAAATAACCATGGAGTTTTACATTACTTGATGTCTGTTACAGTATTTTCCTATAAAAAGCCCTATATAGAATTATATAGGAGCAGGCACTAAAGAGTACAAACAGAAGTTTGTGCTCTTGGAATTGCCCTAAATTGAACTTGCTTGTGATGGCCACCTCAAGGAAGTTTTCTAGGAGGACAGGGGACATGAAAGCCAGGACATACCCGTCACAGCTTCTCCCACCCCAACACAACTCCCCGCTGTTTGGGCCAGTCTGGTGTGAACTTTTCTGTCTCGGCATGCTGATCCTGAGTTATGCTTCGAATGCGGGGGATATTTCACCCAGGCTGTGATTTGGCCGTGTTTCCCTGACAGATGAAATTCAGAAGAACCCAACCAACCCCCTGTCCCCATTGAGTGATGTGGGTGAAACCCAAGAATTACAAAAGTAGGAGGAGTTTTGCCATCGACTTTGCTGGACATAGCACTTTCCTCTATAGGTTCGAGAGAAATGACTTAATTACAGTTTTTTGCAGAACCCTAATAGGTGATTTGAATGCGCAGAATTTCTCCTTCGATGGAGGGATGATGGTTGGGCACGTTGCCTACAGCCCTACCAGGCACGTGAACAGAAAAGAAGAAAGTTGCAATAGTGTTAAATGCTTGGGAATAGGCACCACCTTGGTCTGCTAATTATCGTTTCATGTCCCCTGGCTCGCTCCTTCTGCCAGTTGTAACTGTTATTAGGTCTTTACGGTACGTAGAAGGAGTTCTTATTTGAGCATCAGTATGGAAGTGCTGCTGAACCAGCATGTGTGAAGTTGGAGAACCTGGTGAAAAGGCACTTGGCCATTTTACTGGGATGATGTAGGTCAGATCTGTTAATGAAGGGTCCTTTGTATTCACCTCTCAAGATGGGACAATGACATGTCAAGAGGAGAATGTGTTTAATGCAGACGTAACCACCCATTTCTTAAAATTATTGTTAGTTTTTACTTGCTTGAACACTGGAAGGAAAATAAGAAGGCAACACTTTGCATACCCACCGATATTTTAACGTCAGGGTTGTTGCATTGTTACATCTCTCTCTTCTGTCTCACAGAGTTCATTGCTTCCACTACCTCATCCCACTGGCTAAACAAGGGAACTACGCCATCGTCGCCAACGTGGAGAGTATGGACTACGACCCTCTCGTTGTCCGGCTCAACAAGGACATCAGTGCTATCGAGGAAGCCATGAGCGCCAGCCTGCAGCAGCACAAGTTCCAGTATATCTTCGAAGGTCAGGCGTTTACCATAAGAGTTTGGTTCTTAGGAAATGATTTTCATTCTCATCCCAAAGCTCAGCAGTATTCCTTCTGGGGGTAAGGCAGACTGTGGTACTGTTGCCACCTACAGCAGACTGATAAGTGAGACCCATGCAAACACAGGGCACTCAAAAACCCTGTTGCCTCCATACCATTTCTGAGCGTATCTGGCTGAATAGGAGAAACGGGCCCATGCAGAGCAGGAAAGCAGTAAGTTGATGTACGTGCAGGACAGTTCTTCCGCAGGAAGCTGTAGGGCATGTATATATATTACAAGCACAGCTCTGTTATGGCGCAGTTCCTACCCGAAGTGTAACCATTCCATTTCTAAAATTAAATTTAGAGAACATTAGCTCTTCTGATGTCTCATCTGTCGTGATTACCTTGGAGAATATAAATCATGTCTTGGTTCATCTCCCCTGTATTTATTTGTGGCGCTGACGCACAGTTCTCTTGCCTGCACGCCAGGATGCGTGTCCTTTTATGTAGTGGTTGTTCAAAGTCAGGAGAAGGTGGGGACTGGAGATGTACCCATTGCCCAATATGATATGTCAGCAGGGATGAAGGCTTTGCCAGCCTGGCTGGCCTTATTTTGGCCATTGCTTACTGGTCCTAGAGAAGGCTTTCAGTGTCTCTGTACTTCCCCCCTGTACCCATGTAGCTACTGATGGAGCATTTTTTAATCAGATGTTTTCTGAGCTGTGTGAATCCGTGGCAAAGTGAGTGATCACCAGCACATTGTAGATCTCCTCTTACAGCTCAGGTCTACTGTGTCTGTTCGAGGAGACAGTGAAACGGCTCCAGAGTGAGCCATGGGGACTGTTCGCATCTCACTAAGCCATAAGGTTGAAATTCATACACGTGGTCTTCATGAAACGTAGTCACCTCTTAAGCCCAGTTTGGGGATTTACATATACTCTGGGCTGGTTGCCTGTACATGAACATATTTTCTTAATTCAGACTTTTAATCCATGTCTAGTCTTGTACAGACCTGTGTACTGAGTGAATTAGGCTGGGGTTTTTTTCTGTTTGGAATGCGACATGAATGGATGCATCATTTTGGGGGTGGCTGTGACCGTTAACAGCTGGCTATGTCCTTCAGCAGCAGAGGAAAGATGGAGACATCGTTCAGACACAAGAAACTGTTCAGGACTGATCAGAGAGAGGTTGTGCATCAAGTGCATTGAAATGCAGATCATTTCTGCTCTTGTGGACTGTGAGTTTACCAGGGAAATTTTTCCACCCTTGCTAACAGACTAAAATACTATCATTTTGTAGGAGCAGTCCATTGCTCTGCCCAGACAGAGAGAGGGTCTGAAAGGGACATTATGCAAAGCCTGATTATAAACCTGGAAGTGCCCTGGAAATATCAATGGCTATGATAAAGCAACATTGAGGTTTTGTAGTGTTTGGGGGTGTTTCTGTATTTTTACTGAAGAAGGAAACCTTGAGGAAAGTCCTCCTGAAATGCACAGGGAAGATATTGAGGGCTGTTTCCACATACAGTCCAGTGTATCTCCTGTTCCAGTTCACATGTACCATTTAACAGTGCTGATTCATGGGTTTGATGATGAGTTATTGTCACTAAATGTCTTCCTCCTGTGATTTTATTGGGTTTTTATTTAACTCTTGCAGGTTTGGGCCACCTTATTTCCTGCATTCTTATCAACGGCGCCCACTACTTCAAGCGCATCAGTGAATCTGGCATCAAGAAAATGTGTAGGAACATCTTCATCCTCCAGCAAAACCTGACGAACATCACCATGTCACGTGAGGCTGACCTGGACTTTGCAAGGTGAGCAGAGAGCCCCATGTTGTGTTTGTTACTATTTTGATGTCCACATGTACAGAGGTAGCTCCTTCCAAAAGTTTCACCACTCGTGCGTGCAACTGGATGGATATCAAGTTAAACCCATCGAAGTGTTAATCGTAACGTTCACTTTCCCCCTTGTTGAGCACCGTTCAGAGCAACATGGATCACTTGAGCTCAGCATGAGCTCAAAGTGGAGGTCTCACCAAAGCGTCTGTGCTTGGGGCTTCCTGTTGGTGTGGTTCTCCTAAGACCAAAACCCAGGCAAGGAAAAGCTTCTAGATATAGGTCTTGGGTGGAACTTAAACTGGATGAATCTGGGGCCTGGCTTCATGCCCAGGTAAGTAATACTTTGGTTTGTTGAAGGCTTAAGCTTTTATCAACTCACAGGAACAGTGTGTGTGAACCTCAGGGATGCCACATGCTGTCTCCCTTCAAGTTCTGTTGCTCTTAAAATAGTAGTAATAGCAAAATCAAAACAAAACTGGACATGATAGATCCCCTGCAAGTTTCTCACCAGTCTTGCTTCTTTATTCACTAAAGGGGGGTCATTTGAGGAATAAGCAAACACTAAACGGTGTGTGCTTTGCACATGGACCTAGGATGCTGACTACCAGTAGCTGTATTGGCTGATTCTTTATGGCAGCAGCTGGTTCAGCAACAGGCAGCTGAGCCCAAGAAACAGCCAAAGGAAGTGTCTGGAACTTGCAGGTTAAGGCATGTAGATCAAACGACAGAGTTTTGCATGACACTTGGATATGACCCACCACAAATACTGGAAATAGTTGGTGTCATCATTTGGCCATCGCTCTTGGAGATTGAATTACGAGAGGAGCATGACTCCCTCAGATGAGGGAGAGTAGGTATGACTGAGTGCCTCATTTACTTGGGCTCTCATATGGGGAATGATCTCATTATTGAATTAATTTCTTCATAATAACATTGACATGGAGAAGTTATGAATGCTGAGGCCTGGAGGAGGGGGAGAGAGAAAGATCCATTACTAACTCTCCAAGGAATAGAGTTCCCAAATTCAATCTTTCCTTCTTTAAATGATTTTTTTTCCCTGATCTGTTGAAATGTTAAATAAATTAGCCCAGTTTTTTGGCAGGCAGAACAGAGCTTGAGCATGTGCTGACAGCAACTGGCACCCAAATAATGAAATGCTGACCAAGCGCTGCTGGAGGCTAGAACGGTATGGCTGGCCAGTTTTCTGGAGAGGTCTTTGCGGTAAGGGTTGAATAGCCGTGGAGCTCTGACTCGTAGCGCTGCATAATTTGACGTGCAGTTTGAAGGGAAGGGCAAGGAGGGAACGTGTTCACCCCTCCCGATCTTGCTTGATGGGTGATATGCCAGACCAGCAGTTTTCACAACATCGAACACATACCAGCCGTCTTCATATACGAGTTAGGTGGCAAATAGATTTTCTCGTGCGCCATTGGAGCTGCTGGGTACCATCATCGACAGCTGTGGAGCTCGGAAGAGATACCTGAGCTTTCTGCACAGCAGCATCAGCTGCTTTGTGGTACCTGTGATGCAGATTTCTTCCCATAATATAAATTCAACAACATTTCTTTTTAGCTTTCATGACTGCATCGCTTCCCTCTCTCTTTTGGGGCAGATTTCTGTGATCTAGAGAGTATGTTTTATTCTTTTGTTCTTCAGATGACTCCTGAATGCTTATTATCCAGATTCTCCTTTTACATAAACAAGGCATTTCGTGCATCCAAACCCTGCCCTGCTCACCTGAATTTACAATTACCCGAGCAAGTTCTCACGTTACCCCAGGGACTCCAGTTACCGAGGTCTATTCAAACCATAAAATAAACATAACAGTTCACCCCCAGAAAGCATAAAGTAACATCAATGTAGGATAAAAGTGATTTGTACTTCTGTGATATAGCTCATATAGGAATGTGTAAATGCTTTGCGCAGTAGCTAACTATCAGTTTTGCCTTTTTAAAGATGAGAAACGGAGAGCAAGTGGTTATTTCATGTACGGGAGCAGTGGCAGAGCTGATGGAGAAATACTCACTCACCTGCTCTTCCTTCCCCCCCTGCACCTCCTGGTAACTGGGGTAAATTCCCTCCCTGCTTCACTTTTCCAGGGAACTGGGTGATCATTACTGAATGGGAGAGAAGATTTCTGAAGCGGGTCTAACCCAGCTTGGGACTCACTGCCCCATCTCTGGTCTTTGCATTCGCCCTTGTGCAAAATAATTCAACATTTACTCCGATTTCTTTAAGGAACTTGATTAGAAGTCATGGGCTCCTTTGATCAGGGAAAGACGTAGTAGGGTTTTTAGTGTGTTTTTCACACACACAGAAAAATAGATTTTCTCAGGCAGTTATGGAGCTCTTTGCCCTCCAGGTTGGATCTAAGCCTCATCTGAGGCCGACTGGCTTATCCTTCCCCTGGACAGTCAGTTCGCTGCCCCTGTTGCTCCCTTGCCCTCTTGATATTTCTTTGTCCGTGAGAGTGTGACGCTCAGGGTTGAAGAAGCAATTAGCCGCAATTAACGACCAATATATCAGTCTTCATACGATCACTCTTCATACGTTAAGTTTTAATTCTGGAACAGGTCCTGTGTGGTCCCTTTCTGGAAGTGAATGCATTTAAAGTCTGGTGTGCTCGAGTTTATAGGAAAGACTGGACCATTTGAGAAAGGGCCAAAAGACTTTCAAGATGTCCCTGGGTGTCATGCTTTTGATTTTGGTTTTGGTTTTATTTTTCACCTTTTATATATTCTTCAAGGCTTTCTATGGGCCCCAAAGAGCAATGGGCATTCCCGTTCTTCTCTTAGTCAGTGCCTTAGGCAGTAGAAACCCCAACCAGGGAAGCCGGAGGGGGAAGATCTTTCTCCTCTGAAGCCAGAATCACGTAGAGGATTCACAGCAAAATCTTAACCCATGTAACACTCGCTGGTTTTGGTGAGACTCTTGCTGTTTAAACCACATTTTTCAGAAGATCTGTAACCTGCAGGTGACAACAGCAGGATTTGCTGCTTTGGGAGTAGTACCATGGCAGGGGGAAAATTTGTTTCAAATGAGTTTTGCTTTGAGATTCTCAGTTCAAGGTAGAGCGGGGTAGGGAAACTCTCTGCAGAGCATCACGAAGCAGAGCCAGAGCACGTTTCCATTGAAAAAAATAAATTGCCAAGTTCTGCGAGCTCTAGCAAGGAGTTTCTCCGCTGACAGGAGAATGGGTAAAATAGGCTGGTTCTGGCTGCTGAGGTGTTGCAGAAGGATTTGTAGCATTTGCTAAATTTCCTGCAAATATTAATAGGTTTTTCCCTTATACGTGTGTTCAGTATCTAGGCCAGCAGAAATGCAGTCAGTCATTAGGGCATCCACTACTATATTAAAGGAAAAGCAGTATTTCCTTCCCGTGTATAATACCTAGGCGTATACTGCAAAGTCTGGAACTGAGCCTGACTTCCAAATACCTCCGAATTTTGGAAGTTTCAGACCCAGAATTAGATTTGTGGCATTAGAGGGATAAAATTCAGCTTCAGGTTTGGATTCCAGTTCAGATCTTTTCCCTTGTGCCTTCTTTCCTACTCCCCCTCTATCCCCACCAAAAATTGCACTTGCATGTTTATGCAGAGATTTCATCAGAGGTCATAAGAAAAGGCTAGGTTTCTGCTTCAGACTTATCCTTAAATAAAATATCATTCAACTCTTAGATGTTCATTTTTCATTTTTAAAAAAACTTTTTCAGACATACAGCAGTGATAAAATTGCCCTATTCTTGAAAGTTAATTGAGGTGGTTGCAAGGGGAAGGGAGAGACCAGTGATGAAATGTGAACATTTCATACAACACAGTGTCGTTCTGACCTCTGAGATAAAGGTTTTTGAGTGGTGCTACTCATCGTTACTGGGTCTGAAAGTGTCCTTCATCCCTTAAATGGTTTGCAGCATAGAAAAGCAGAGGTGTCTGTACACCTAAGAGTTAGATCAGAGGTTTCCCTGCTGCTGCCATTCAGGTTAGCAGTTGCTACACCCATCCATCCCGCGGGGACCAGGAATCTCTTTTCCTGCTGCTAAAGAAGGTACCAGGGCCCTTGGCTTTAGCAGATGTGGCACCTACATTGTCACTGCCAGCGGATCCCAGGCACTCCGGAGAAGTCCCCAGTGAGAAGGCATGGGGAGAAGCCATCAGCATGCCGGACGGTTGTTCACAGGTTGGCCATGAATAAGCCCTTGAAATGTAGTTCAGACACCTGTGATCAAATCTATCGGTATACAAGGGCTGCTTGAATTTTTATCGTTCACAAAAGAGAATGACCTTTGCTTCCGCTCCCCAGCAAAATACAGCTGCAGCTGCTGCTCTGACCTTGTTCCTCTGCATCTGGGCTCTGCCGGTGACACCCGTGACGCTACGATGTACATGTACTTGCTTGTATTCTTACGTTCTCGGGGCAAACACCTTCCCTCCACCCATACAGCCCCCTGCGGAGAGTCAGGAGAGGACGGCACCAGTCCTTGTACTGGTTTCAAAGTAAGTGAGAACTGCCAAGGCATTTGTAGGAAGCAGTTACAATTAACACCGGTTGCCCTAAGTGGGTCCTGGAAACACACCCTTTACCCAAAACCCGTCTTCATTTAGGTGGGGAAGGTAAGAGCATAGATGCAGGAGGATGCAGCTGGAGCTTGAGTTTTCTTTCCAACCAGTGTCAAACTGCCGCATCATTGGTTGGGTTGGATACCAAGGTCAAGATGCCAATGTGTCTGCACGAGGCCACACGGTGTGATGGGAAGAGACGAGCGTGGGTTTGGGAAGCAGCAGATCTGCCTCTGCTCTCACACCTAATAAGCACTCTATTTTTGCTTGTAAGTTTGAGCAAATCACAGCAGCAGAGTGGATATAGACCCTCCGGGTTTAGGAGTAGCTCAGTCGGTGACAGGAGGCAGAGATGCCCTTGTGCCACAATTTTCCAGTGCAAACAGGCCCATTGCTGTCAGCACAAACATCCGCGGAGGT